GGGAGGCGGCGGCAGGCATCCCGGTCCACGGAAGGGACGAAGCGGCGGCGCTGCTCTTGGAGAGGGCCCATTACCGGCATGACCCGCGCTGGCTGCTGCCCGTGCCCCCACACCTCTGCCTGGCCTGCGCGCTGGAGCTGCTGCCGGAGCCCGGCGTGTCGGTGCGAACCAGGCCCCCGCGTTTCCCTCGTTGAACAGGGCCACCCCTCGCCAGACCAACTCCCTTGAACCCGACCCTCCTACTCCGAAACTAACCGGGCCCATCCGCCTCGTTGAATCTACCCCCTAAACAGGCAACCAGGTCGTCCTTCTTGGCTGAACGACCTCAGCCCCAGTCTAACTTGTAGGCCGCCCTTTCCAAACGAGGCCCTGCCCCTGACTCCATGCCTGAAATGGACCTGTCCCTGTCCACACTAAATCTGGGGCCCCCAGGACCCCAGCAAGGCTCCCTGGCAAGCCTTCCCGCCTTCCCCTCTTCTCTCTAGCCGGCCTGCGGTATGCTGATCCTCTCCCCTTTCCGCCAGGATGTAGCCTTAGCTCAGGTTCCCTCCATTTTAGCCCCTTTTCAGCCTGTGAGCTAGGCGCCTCATCCCCTTTAGATTTCTGAGCGTGTGAATGTGGAGGAGAGGGCTTCCTGGGTCTCTGTGATGACAGGAACACGGGGTGGAAGTTACAGCCAGGCAGAAGGGAGATGAAGTGGGAAGACAGCCAGCTGAAACATGGCTGCCGTTTCTTGGTGCCTACCCACCTTTGACGTGAACTTTTCTTCGTGGAGGCATCCAGGAAGAGTTTGGGAGATCACTTTTCTCTCAGATTCATGGCGGGTGGAGGTGGGGATGGAATTCAGGCCTTGGGTGGGGTGATGGGCTAGCTCAGTGGTCCTCAGTTTTTTTATCTCAGGATGCCTTTACACTTTTAAAAATTGTCGAGGACGCCAAAGAGCCTTTGCTTATGTGGGTTATATCCACTGATATTTACTGTATTAGAAATCAAAACAAAATATAAAAATATTAATTTATTTAAAAATAATGTAAATCCATTACATATTAACAAAATTCTTTTTCTTCTGGCACAATAACTTAAAATTTACCATTTTAACCATTTAAGTGTACAGTTCTGTTGCATAAGTAGTTTAAAAAGTGAAAATAACTATGTTTTCCATAACGAAAAAGATAGTGAAAGGACTGGCTTTGTCTTAACATTTTTGCAAGTCTCTTTAATGTAAGGTTTAATAGAAAACATCTGGATTCTCATATATTTCTACATGTAATCTGTTGTGATATCACATGTCATGTAATATTTTTAAAACTTCACCATACACTTGTGAGAGAATAAGAGTGGAAAAGGCAAATAGCATCTTAGTATTATGTGAAAATAATTTTGATCTCATGGATTCCCTGAAAGGGTTTTGGGCATTCCTAGGGTCCCCAGACTATAATCTGAGAACTGCTGGGCTAGCTGATAACATCTGAGATGTATCATTGAGGCCAGAAGTTCTGAGGCTGTCACTCTTGGACAGTGAGTCAGAGTTAGAGATGAATAAAACAGGGAGGTAGGGGAGAAAATAAGAACGCAATCCTGGGAATTGCGAAAATGGACATATCTGTGGTAAAGTGCTGTGTGGGATAAGGAGGGAAATTAGGAAAGGTTTTTAGAGGAGGAAGCATTTGAATTAGGCTTGAGACTATGGGTAAGATTTGGACGAGAGGAGATGGGCATCTTATTCCAGGAGGCAGGTATTTGTAAGGATGAGTTTGGGAAGGTAGTTAGAGTGTTTGAAGGGAAGTTGAGATTGGAGAGCCAGGTTAAGGTCAGTTCCTTGAAGAGTTTGAATCCAAGCTAAGGAGCTTGGACTTAATCAGATTGGCAGGTGAAGGAGTGTCATTGAGATTTTTTGAGTGACTCCATTAGATCGCTAGCTATGTTTTATGTAGGAGGAACTGGTGAAGGAAAACAGGAGACTTGCAATAACACAGGTTAGAGGCAATAAGAGTTGCAACTTCACCTTTTACTGAACACAGTTTTCTTAGCTTCAGCTCTCACCAATTGAAGGGATGATGTAGTCAGTTGTACCCATGTTCCTGTTATATCCTCTGTGCACACCCCTTTTTTGACCCAACTTTTGCTATTATCTTGATTACTTTGCACAGCTACTACTCAGTTCCTTGTACAGGGAGGTGAATTGAGTGTGAAGATTTATGTCTGCCTTGAATGGAAGGATGTATTTTCTCTACTTACCTCTGTAAGGTTGACAAAGGGTCCTCAGTATCACTTTGCTGGACTATTGAAGTGGAAAGCACAAACTTTTGACAAGACCTGGCTGGAGACTTAGATTTGAATCCTAGGGAAAGTCTCTGAGCCTCAGTTGTCTTATCTCCAAAATGGTTATAATAATACCTGTTTCTCTTTTCTTCACCATCTTGTTAGGATTAAATGAGCAAGTAGACAAATGAGTGATTTGTGAAGAGTAAAGTGCTATGTAAACATAGGGTATTAGGAACCTTAGCTCATGTATAATCCTCTGAATGAACACACGGACTCCTGTGTGTAAATGATGCCCTTTTCCATACTCCCTTGAGGGAATATGATCTTACCATAAATTACATGATCCCTCCAGTATCATCTTGTAATTATATTTGTATAATTATATATTGTATATATAATTAGAATTGTTTGGGTTCAGAATGGCTGAGACTTGGTTGCGATTGAATCTTTTTCTTTATCTACCCCAAGCTGGTGCGCAAGAAACATGTGCTGTCCTGCTTCCGAGATGTCCTCGTGAGGCACGCCTCCCTGGTCATGCAGTTTGTGGCTCAGGATCAGAGAGTCTGTATTCACCTCATAAACATGCTTTTTGGTGAGATTAAAAGGGAAACAGCGTGAATTGTGCATGTATAATATGTATATTTGCTTTTGGGGTTTTGGAGAAATGGTCTTGGAAAGATAATTTAGATTTTTTGCAAAATAACAGTTTAACTTATTAGCAAATTGTTTTGTCATAATGATGAAGAAATGGTCACCGTTCTAAGATACATGATGCATTGTATGGTAATTACAGCTAAGAGGTTAGTAAAAGTGTGAAGATGAATATGGGAAATGTATGATCTTTCAAAGAGCCAGTCTGTATGGTCTTTGAACAGGATCAGGAGGTCCAGACTGGAGTTTGCTGACCTGGCTGTGACCCTGATTGAGTTACTTCCTCTCTTCTGTGTCTTAGTTTCTTCATGTGTAAAATGAGATGAATTAAAAGGTTCCTTCTTTTAATACAATTATAATGTCCTATGGAATGAGCCCTTTCAAGGAGGAGAGGAGCTAACTTGTATTGCGTGCTTTTCTCTGCTAGAGGCATTTTAGGCTTTTAACTGCCAAGACAGTCTTTTAAGGGAGATAGGATGATTCTGAAGGCCCCGGGAGATCACAGCTAACAACTGGCAGAAGGAATTTTACTCCAGGTCTGTTAGACTCCAGAGCACACAGTTTTTATCCTGTACCACACTGACTGTTTTTATTCCTTTAAAGCCAGAGTGAGTCACTGAACGTCTAGGTAGGTGTTTGGTGGGAGGATAAAATTTAGCTGGGACATTGCTTAAAGCTGCTGTTAGTCTTAGAATACACAGTGTGCCTTTGTGGGTTTGTTTTTCTTTTAACTATTAACTATCCCCCTCTTACCTCTCTCTGCTCTAAGGACTGTTGTGCAATGTGGAAGATGGGAGTATAGCAGACCTCTGTATTGAAGGTAAGGTGAAATTGTGTGTACCTAGCATTTGAAGCTGCAGATTTTAGCCTGAATAGCAGCTCTCATTATTTGAGACTTGGATGAAATGTTTCATTTTATTATAATTTTTTTTTTTTTAGCTGAGCCATCCTGCCACCTGTTGGCAGCTTAGCAGCAGCTCAGCTCGGTCTGGGCATCGAACTGCTATTGCTCAGAGCTCAAACTCTTGAGTGAGCTCTTAACCAACTGAGCCACTTGGCCAGCCCCTTGAAATGTTTCATTTTAGAGACAGATAAAGAAAACTTAGTTAATTGTCAGCCATTAATTTTGCATTTCTTTCTTGGGCACCTGCTCTGAGCCAAGTACTATATCAGACACTGGGGATACACAGATGCATAAGACATGGTCCTGCCCTCTGAGAGTTTACAATTTGGAGGAGAGATTGGCTGGTAAATAATCAGAGCTGCTGAGTGCTGTTACAAAGACATATACAAGATTCTGTTTTTACTACATTCATATTGTTTGGTTGGAAGTTGTCTGCATATGGGTGGTGATTAAAGCTGTGGAAGTGTGTTGGTTTACCTATAAAGGACTCAAGAAGAAGGAAGACGAAAATACTAGGATAGGAGGATTCTTGCAGCAAGAGCAAGAACTCCATCAGTTAGGGTCTAGTCAGGAAACAAACCACACCAGTTATTTGAACAGAAAAAAAACCCCTTTAATATAAAGAATTATTACCTAGGTAACTGAAGGCAAAAAGAGAACAGCAGGTATTCACAGAGGTAGCAATTTCAGAAAGCAGCTCCCACTCCTAGGGCTGGGAAAACAAAGGGAGAGGTTGGAATTATTAAACTACAAGTTTGGAGGAAGGACCCATATAGGAAACTCAGACCTCTGAGGAGAGGATGCTGCTTGGCTAATGCTGGGTCCATGAGCATCCAGCCACACACTTAGCATCTGTAACAACTAGCAGCTGTAACAGATCATAAGTCAATATGATTTGTATGTACTTCTGACCATCTCGCAATACAGACAATGTGGACAAACAACGTATCACTTGAAGTTCTGACCACTGGAAGGGGTGGGAAGATTTCCCTTCACCATTTTCCTCAAGGCCACCTTCAGTGGGGCTATAATTCTAAAGCCATTCGCTTCTATGTTGGTGCAACATAGCTTGCAGAACCCTCATCAGACCCCAAGAACTTCACTGAGGTGGTGGACACTAGATGGAGACAGCAAAACTACAGGGTGAAGAAGGACTTGCTCCTTCGTCAGTTTCCTGTTTGCTTTCTGCATTCTTCCTGTTTCTGTGTTATCCTAGAATGCTTATTTATCCTGGAAGTGGTAGAGCCTGCCCACAGCAGCAGCTGAATCTAGTTTGCAGCTTTTCCCACACTTGCAGAGCCAGCCTCTTTTCCACCTCTCCTTAAAGACACCAGCAGAAGCATCACAAATGATTGTGTAGAAGGGCAGGCTTAGGGTTGTGAGGTCATATTATTAGCAATTACTGGCAAAGGAACTCATGATTCTATTTTTGAGTATATGAAGGAGCAAATTCCGAGGAAGGAAAAGTATAGATAAAATAGTAGTTTCAACCTTGGCTTCACAATAGACTTACCTGGGGAAAAAAAAAATATCCAGATACTTACTCTTTCTCTAGAGATTCTGATTTAATTGGTCTAGGGTGGGACTTAGGCATTAGTATTTTTTTTTCCTTAAAGCTTCCTAGGTGATTCTAATGTGCAGCCTAGTTGTGAACCACTGATGTAAAACAATGAAGAAGCCAGAAATCCTTTGGTCTGGATGTGCACAGATGGTTTAAAGGGGGCTAGGGGACTACAAAAGACGAACACAAATTAACACAAGCAAATGACTTTGAGTAGAAGGGGTATGAAAGGTGAACTCTGGGCCAGGGATTGTCTTCTGATTAGTAATGCTATTGTGTTGCTCAGTCCTTATCCAGCTTACAACTCAGCTGAAATTAGAGCAGACCATTCATTGCCTGCTGGATGAGTGCCACAAAGAGGTCAGTAATTAGTTGTGGGTTCCTGAGTACCCCTCAGGATCCTCAGGCATCAGAATTGGGCCAGCTCTTGTTTGGATAGATGGGGAGATTGAAATCCAGAGGAGAAGGGGCTTGCCTGAGGTCACTGAGGCAGTGGCAGAGCCAGAGCTGGGTCCTGGGTCTTCTGATCCTGTCCCAGCACTCTTTGCCACTTCCTTCCTTCCCCTTTCAATCTCCCAAATGCTATCTATGTCCATGTGGTGAAGTCCCATCTTTCTGGCATAATCAACCTATAGCCATTGTCTGTATCCTCCTAAGTATAATACAGATTTCCTTGATGAACTTGTCAAGGAAATGTGTTCATTATGTCTTGGCTTAGTAGTTTTATTTGGTTTGAATTATATACAGTATTTTGTACTGAAGGCATTTACTTTTATCAGCATCTAAGGTAAGCACTGAGTGGGTATATTTGACCTGCTCCAATATAGTCAAAGATATCAATTAAACAGGCAGCTTTTGCATTGTGTTTAAGATTTAGGAGTGATATCAGAATTGCTTTTTGGCTTTTTTTTGCAAAACAAAGACAAATTTTCATCTTAACACCATCACGAACAACATTTAATTATAAATTATATTAAATTATAAGTATTCTGCATAGATTAATATGTCAGATTGGATTTATAACTATGTACTATATCAATACTTATCATTATGATGATGCCACTTAACACTTTGAGCACTTTCTATATGCTTAACACTTTCTATATGCTAGGTAGTGTTTTAGATGCTTTACATGCAATACCTCATTTTGTCCTCCCAACAACCCTATGAAGTTGGTTCTATTATCATTTCCCACAAGAGGAGTTAAGAGTTACTTAAGGTGCTACAGCTAGTCAATAGAAAAGATGAAGTATATACTACTGACTCTCCCTGTAAAGTACCAAGCATAGTGCTTGGCAAATAGAGTGTTCCAAGGGGCAGCCGGTTAGCTCATTTGGTTAGAGTGCAGTGCTCATACCACCAAGGTTGCCAGTTCGATCCCCGCATGCACCACTGAGCTGCGCCCTCCACAACTAGATTGAAACAATTACTTGACTGGGAGCTGATGAGTCTTGGAAAAACACACTGTTTCCCAATAATGCCCAATAAAAATATTTTAAAAAGAGAGTGTTCCAAAATAGTAGCTATAGTAATGATGATAATAATTTTTTTTTTCTGCATTGAACCAGAATTCTGTCTTAATGACGTTCCCAACTTCCCCCCCCCCAAGTTTATGGCTCTATAGGAGACAAAATATGCTAATTTTAATTCAGTTTAACAAACATGTACTGAGCTAGGTACTGAGGGCTCTGAGAGGAATCTGACTCAGTCCCTTTCCCCTGGGGCTTCCCAGTCCAGTAAGGGAGATAGCCACTTAGCTAATGAGACTGCTTACTGATTGTGGTGAGAGATGCACAATACAGGTTTGGTGTGGATAGAGCAAGATAAATTTTGGTGGGAGATCTGTCCTGATTTTAATTTATAGAGTGGAGTGTGTTCACTTTCTGTAGCTGTGTAACATGCCCTCCATGCGAGGCAGCCTGGCCACCCTGACCCTTCTCGGCAAGTTGGTGGATGCCATCCCTGCTCTGGCAGACGAGCTTGTAATGGAGCACGGTGAGTGACCTCTGGGGAAGAGCTGCCATTTCTCCTTCACCTGCTTTGGTCACACTTCCATCTGGGCTGTCCATTCACTGTATACACATAGGAAGTCATTAATTTCCTTCTCTAGGCTTTAGTTTCCTCATCTGCAAAATGTGCCCTATGTTTGGCCAATTTGAAAAAAAGTGCTTCTTGACTTTGGTCTTGGGCTACTTCTGTTGACTATTTTAAAACAAATGAATTAAGTACCTATCGTGAATCTTCCTTTTGGGTGGAAGGAGGAATTAATTCTGAAATATTGAAGCACTCTTTTCTATCAGTAAAATACAAATAAATAATCTTACAGAAGATTTACCTGAGGGTAAATCACTTCTCTAAACCTTAGTTTTCCCTTTTGATCAAATGTCCAGAAATCATTTACTGTGGGGGATTATTGGGGATTATCATTACTACCCCATTGGGGGCAACAGTTTGGAGTTTCATATAGCAGTTGACATTGTGCGGTTCACCTGGCATCCTGATTATTTTCTGGACAGGTGACCTGATGGAGCATCTGTTGAGAGGTTTAGTGTACCCCAGTGAGGGGGTGCAAGCTTCTGTCTGTTATCTCTATGGGAAGCTGTACTCCTCACCAATGGCAGCTGAGATGCTTTCAGGCCATTTCCGGGAGAAGCTGTGTCCTCTCTTCCTTTCCACGTTGGATGGTGCCCAGACAAAGGAGCTACAGATCAACTGCTTGGGTAAGACATGAGACTAGAGAGAAAACAGACAGAAAGCATTTGAGGTTTTGCTTGAGGACTTGTGATATTGGCTCTCTAGTTGTGGGGAAGCTTGCTGCTTTGCAAAGGGTAGAAGTCATGGGTTTGGGATGCACAGACTGTGAAAGATGCTTAGAGCTGGTGTGACATCTTCAGAATGTTGCCTTTGGAAGGAGAAGAGGAAAGAAAGTGGGACAGCAATTTTTCTGCCTCCCATGTTTACTGCCTGCCCTGGTGCATCTTGTACTTGCTGCCAAGTTAATCTTCGTACTGCACAGTTTATGTCCTGTCAGTTTCCTATTTGGAAAATCATCTATGGCTCCCTCTGGCCTCCAGGATTATGTCCAGGTTTCTTTGCTTGTTATTTGAGGCTCCTGAGAGCAGGAGTTACAGAGAAAAGCATTGTTTGTGGGTGACAGAAGTTTTTTTTCACAGCTTGGGCCAAGAGCTCTGTTATGAACAGTCCAGCCACACATAGCCCTGTGCTGGGCTTTGAATCATAAAGATGATCAAATCCAAGCTGTATTTTGAGGGAGCTCATAGTTCAGATATGAACAATTGAAGTTCATTGTCATAAATGCCATTATAGAGGCTGCACAGGAAAGGGTGGGATTCTATTTAACATAGTACTAGAATTCTTATATACAGAAAACCCTAAAAACTCCACCAAAAAACCCTATTAAAACTAATAAATGAATTCAGTAAAGTGGCAGGATACAAAATCAGTTGTGTTTCCATACACTAACAACAAACTATCTGAAAAAGAAATTAAGAAAATAATTCCTTTTACAATAGCAATACTTAGGAATCTCTAGGAGACATGAAGAAGTCTCGAGGGGATGTGTGAGGGCCACCTTGGGTATGCTACTCTGGGTCCTGTGCTCCTCCCTACCCTTTTTTCTTCAGGCTTGCTGAGGCAGCTGCTGAAGTATGATCTCTTCGTGTCCATGATCATGAACAACTCTGCACTGGCGGAAAGCACTGAGAGTGTTGAGGGGCCACCAGGAGAGACCTCACTGCCTTTGGTGCTCAAAAAGGTCATTGTCTTGTGATTCCCTGTTTCTAGGTTCAATAATAGGAAGCCTGAATGCCTCCTGGGCCTTGTCCCCATCCACCACTCCTTCTGTCTGGGATTTCCAAAGTGTTTCCTTACTGGCTAGAACAATATGCTGTTTGAAGACTCAAAGTAGGTTTCTTTTCAGTCATGAATCCTTCTGTCGCCATCTTCTGCCTCACTTCTGGGCTGCCCGAGAATGGGCGATATAGGCAGCAACAGAAACAAAGCTTTCTCCATTGTTTCAGGGATAAAATTCAAGCTTCTCAGCTTGGTACCAGCCATGGGCACCTTCTCTCTGGTCCTGTGTATGCCAGGGTGTCCTTTCTCTGTGCCTGTGCAGGTAATCTCCCCCTTGCCTTTGAAACCTTTCCCTTCTCCTTTGTCTGTTGATCTCTGATTCAGCTTTCATGGCCGGTAGAAGTCCCCTGTCACCCTGGCTCCTTCAGGCAGAATGTGCCCCTCTGTCACAGTGCTTACCTGACTGTATTGTGGTTGATTGACTGGGAGCTTCTTGAAGGTAGGACCTGAGTTTAGCTGCCTCTCTCTGCAGTGCTCAGCCCAGGGCTTGGCAGAGCTACTGTCATCATCTGATAGAAAGACAATCATTGATGGACCCTATTGTGGGACTCCTTCTGCACGAAGGAGGAGGAGCCCTGGTCAGACCTGGAAAAGGGACAGTTGGGGATAAGTGAGTTAGATATTAAAAATCCAGAACAAACTGCTCCTTGTTTCCCTGGGAGGCCTCTGGAGTGGTCCACACAGGTCCTGTGAACTCTGAAGAGAAAGTTCTGTGTCTCTGAACCAAAAAGATTTCATATTGGGTTCTTTTCTGTGTTCATTTTGCTGTTGCCATCTTGGTGTCCATGGTAACATCTGGTTAGAATATTCGATCCAGGGCTCAGCAGGGACACAAGGTCTTCTGACCTTTCAGTGCACCAAGGCAGCATGATGGTGGTAGGAACTGAGATTAGAGAGCACTTTCCTAGGGGGAGAGAACTTTGTAGAGACAGGATTCTTGGTTTAGAGGTCCCCACCTGCATCCATATGTGGAGGATGTTCTTCCATTGGCAATTTGGGATGATCAACATTTTATTTTACTACAATAACCAGCAAGGTTGGGACTAGGGTGGGGCACTTGCCTAAGGTACAAAATTTAAGGGGTTCTACCACAAACTCAGCAAGCAAGATAAATAATATTTTAATGTGAAATCCTGATAACTGTGGTGTCCAGTAGGAGTTTGGATTTTATACGATGGAAATGCATTGAAATGTTTTGAGTAGAGAAGTAATCTGATCTAAAACTTTGATGGGGGAGGCATCTCAGTTGTGGGAAGACTCCTAGATTTGGACATGGCTGACCTGGGTTACCCTTGTTAGCTGTGTTGCCTGGAGTAGGTAACTTAACCTGGATGAACTTTAATTCCTTTCTCTGTGTGTTGAGGGTCCTCAAGACCACCCCCAGGTTCAGTAATTCATTAGGAGGACTCACAGGATTCAGTGTATAGTCATATAGCGATGATTTCTTAAGTGAAACAATACAAAGCAAAATCAACAAAAGGAAAATGTGTATGGGGTGAAGTCTGGGGGAAACCCAACCACAAGCTTACAAGAATCTTCTCTTTGTGGTCATACAGGATGAACTTCATTCCTCCAGCAATAAATTGTGACAACAGTGTGAAATGTTGCCTAGCAGGAAAGCTTATTAATGTCTCAGTGCCCAAGGTTTTTACTGGGGGCTGGCTGGTCACGTAGGCACCCTCTGCCTAGTACATACCAAAATTTCAGAGTCCCAGAAGGAAAGCAGGTGTTCAGCATAAACTACTTGGGGTGCCAAAAAAATGTATACACATGACTTGTGTTCATCTTTTGTTATCAGAATATAGTGAGTATTATTGTACAATTTTAATACGGTTTTTCCCTTTCTTAAAATGTGTATACATTTTTTTGGTACTCTCAGTATATTGTTTGTATAAGTAGTTTAGTCACAGTGAGTCACTCTTATCAGTTCTGGGAGTGATGGGAACCCTCCCGAAATCCAACTTCCCAAACCCAATCAATAGCCATCCTTGCAGGCAGGACTTTGTAAAGATAACAGTCTTAGACCTGCTATGTTAACTCCTTTGTGCACACTGTAGAATGAGTCTCTTAGAAGAATTTTCCCATGTTATGTCCCAGTCTTGTTGCAAACATCAAAACCAGATGTGGGCTGTGAAAGTGCTTTTGTAAATGATGGCCTGAGCCTTTCTTGGTGACGGTTTTAATGTTCTTTGAGTGCCATTGTGATCTTTTGTTCTAGTTCTCACCTGCTGCTGTTCACTCGTTTCCATAATCCTTAACTGCCCTCCCTGAGCATCCTCATGCCTGGCAATTGGTAGTGCAGGAGGGATTCATGGACAATTAGGGCTCCTACTCTGAGGCACTCAAGCTGCTTCCCCCTGGTCCTGTCAGTGCTGTTTGTAACTTTGGCACCTTTTGCTGCCTGTTTCTCCAGCTTCTCCTCTCCAGAGATGAGATTCTGCAGGTGGCCAGTGCCCACTGTGTAACTGCAGTGCTAGTCCGCTCCCCAGAGAAATATGCCCCGGCCTTCATCCATGCTGACATCCCAGGTAGGGGGCCCCTTCTAACCTTCTCCTCCAAGGACCCTAGGATTCTGACTGGAGACCCTCAAGCCACAGCAGCAGCAGCAGCAGTCCTGTTGGGGTTTTGATAATGCATACTGGAGGGATGGGTTGGTGGCAGGTTCAGTTGTACATGACAGACTCCAGGAAGTAGGCCTCATAACATCTCAATTCTTTTGCTACAGATTTCTTATATGATCTTGAACAATTTGTTACTGATCTTTGTCATTTATTTGACCATTTAAGAATAAACGCCTAGTATGGGGTGGTGGAAAGACCCATGAACCAGGAAGGCAAAGGGAACTGATGTTTCTTGAGGGCTTGTTATGAGCCAGGAAGTATACCCTAAGGTGTATTGGTAATCTTGCCACATTTAGGTCCTCATCTTTGCTAGTTTATGGATGAAGAAATTGAGGGTCACAGAAGGGAAATAACTGCTTTAATTGACAAGTCTAGTCGTTGAGAGAAGGGAAAGTAAGCCTCTCAGGCTTTAAAAACTTTTTCTCTGCATCATGCTGCTATCCAGCCTGAAGATCAGGAGGCTTGACTTTAGTCCCACCTCCAGCACTAACAGTACCTCTCTCTGGGTCTCAGTTGCCCCATCTGTTAAAAAGATGATGTTAGACCATAACCCTGAAAGCATTTTCCAGGTTTATCTGTGAATTAATGATCAGGTCTCATAGAGAGGGGAGAGGGTGTATGAAGAGATGAAGTAACAGGTGTGAGATGCTGAATAACTCCAGGGCCCTAGCATTAAATCAGTTAAGGGATCATGATCACACAGGTGTCATTTATTGTTTTCTTCCTCTTTCCCCGGCCAGAGTTCCTCTTTGAGCATCTTTCATCTTCCAGTGAAGTGCTCGTCTCATCCAGCTACAATTGCTTGATACTTCTGGCAGAGGAGCCACTCTTCTTTTCCAAGTGCCACACGGTGTATGGTTGGTTGTGGGGGTCCTATACTAGCTCTGGGTTGGGTGGACAACACTTTAAATTTGGGTAGCATTGATGGGGGGCTTAGCCTGCACCTTGGAAGGGCATGCTGGGTTTGGTTATTTCCATCAACCCAAACTCATTACCAGATTCATATGCAAGCAGTAACATCCAAACAGTTCTGCTCTTCACTGATTAGCAGAAGTATATATGCTTAGGAAGGCCACTAAGTGATTTCCTGTTGCACCTTAAGGACTTTATTCAGCCTTGGATTCCTTCTTCTCCTGTGCTCCAGACATCTATCCATCTAGTTAGTCCCTAAGTTTTGCTGATTCATCCTTTCAAAGTTTCTTAAAACTGTCCATTTTCTTCCTGGTGATGGAAGAAAGCATTTGTCTGGGACTTTTTATATTGCATATAGATTTTTAGATTGGACACATTCAGTCTTTCATTTTATATTCTGTGTTCCTATTCTATGCCAGGCACCAGGCTGGGACCTGGAGATTTAGAGATAGTATGGTCCCTGACCTCTGGAAAGGGACAGAAATACAAACAAGCTGATTAGGGCTCTGCTACAGGGAAGTACAGGAGGTATGGGAGCTCAAGGAAGGCCCATTGCTCTGAGTGGATCAGGGAAGGCTTCCTGGAGGGGTGGCAGTCAAACCTGATTCTTTGAGGAGGAATAGGAGTGTGTCTGGTGGAGAAGGCGCAGCTCAGTCAATAGGTATTCACTAAATATTTTGAGTGCCAGGGTCTGTGCTTTGGCTTGTGCTGGGTTTTGAGGAGACAGGGATGAATCCGATAAGGGCCTTCCCTTAAGATCTCCCAGTCCTGCCCCATCAGCTCAACTTTGTCAGGGCCCTTCCATGAGGGGCTGCCAGCAAACATGTGCTGTGCAGAGCATCTCACGTCTCCTGAGCAGGCAGTGAAGGAACTCCCGAGCATTGATCCCTGCCTCTGCTGTGTCATTTTGAGGTAGGCATCGAGTCAGTGGTGAGGAGCCTACAGGGAAGCCTGAAGATGAACAACACAGAGCTGCACAAGCAGGGCTTGCTGCTCTTTGCTGAGATCCTGACTCGGTGAGCAAAGCGGTGGAGCATCAGGTCTGGAGAGCCCGGATTGGAGAAGGAAAGAAGCGAAGGATTTTTCCCTCGTGGGGTCAGTGATAAGAGTTCACTCACTCGTTCCTCATTTACCATTTCTAGGCAGCCGGAAGAGATCAAGCTGTTCACAAGCTCAGCCATGTGCAGAGATGCAGGCCGTGCCCTCCAAGAGGCAGTGAGCAGTCCTGTGCTAGAGGTGGCCGTTGAGGCAGTGAAGGCCACTTCTGCCTTTCTGAGGTGAGAGACCCTGGCAGGCTGAGCTTTCCACCTCTGCATGGATCTGAGGGCTACGTCAAGACTGGGGAAGCTTCCAGGGGCTACTTGTAGGAAATTTTCTTGATTTTTCTCTTTGGTTCTCTATTTACTCTGGTTTCTGTTTCTGGAATTGCCATTTAGATGTTGGACATCCTGGATTGGTCATCAAATTTTCTTTGTTTTATGACAGGTTTTCATCTTTTTGTCATTATGCACTAGTTCCTGGGAGAGTTTCTTTCTTTCTTTTTTTTTTAAAGATTTTATTGGGGAATTGGGGGAGGGAACAGCATTGGGGAATTGGGGAAAGGGAACAGACAAGTTGCTGTCCTTTTGTTCTTCAGCCTAGTTGTGGAGGACATCGCTTCACTGGCCCATGTTGGTATTATCATTGCGCTCTTCCTGGGTGAGCTAGATCGGTCACTGGCCACTGGTCGGCTGCTCACGGCAGCTCACGCCAGCTGCCGGCCACGCATGGTAGCTTATGGCAGCCCACTGCAGCCCCACTGCAGCCTATGCTGTCGCTGGCGACTCATGGCAGCCCAGCTCCAAGTCAAGGTGTTGTTCACCATCTTAGCTGTAGAGGGCGTGGCGTCACTGGCCTATGTGGGATCTGAACCGGGGCCCTGCTGCTCAGAGCTTGCGCTCAATGAGCCACTCGGCCGGCCCTCTGGGAGATTTCCTTGACTTTCAACGCTTGAGTTTTATTTCTGCTTGCATATTTTCAATATGGAAGAATTCTTTCTAATTTGCTACATGTTTTTTTTTAATAGCATTTTATTCTGTATTTATTTCATGGATATAATTTTTTTTCTCAGTCTTTTGTTTTAGTTTAAACTTTCCCCCTACTTCCTTTCTACTAATTGTTCCTTCTGCCTAAAATATTCTTCCCTTAAATCTTTGCATGACTGGCTTCTTCCCATCATTCAGGTCTCATTCAGAGCGTGCTTCCCTAACTGACCTTTTAGGCTGTGATAGCACCTACCAAACACTTGATAGTTCTTGTTTACTTATTTGTTTTTTGTACCCCCCAGAGATCATGGACCGTGTTAGTTTTTGCACTGCTATGTGCCTTCTCCTAATAGATAGGCAGTATATGAATGATGTTAAAATGGATGGTGAGACTAAGATCTTAGGGTCAAGATGGGAAATTAGTCCTTGGCAAGATGCTTGATATCTTGAAAAAAAATAATGGAGGAAACCCGGATTTATATATATATATATATAGTACCTTTTATTTTCTTTCCATGTTTTCACTTTAAAAAACTAACAAAGTAATATATTCAAAAAATAAAATATGCAGAAGGTTTATAATGAAATGGAACAGTCCCCTGTCCCCACTTCCTACAGGAAGCTAATTTTAACTCATTTTGATTTTAGTTCTGGGGGTTATTTCCATAAATATAAATAATATTCTTATAATGTTGGTTGTTTTCTTTATTTGTTAATGTAGGACATTTATTGATTTGCCAGTAAGAAAGACCAAGATTTTGCCCACATTTTTGTCTTCTCTACATTTCGGTGGCATTTTTGCTAGTTAATATTTTATGTCTTCAAACCTTTAATATACTTAATATACTTAAAACTTGTATTTCTTTTTTTTTTAGCTGAGCCATCCTGCCAACAGTGGCAGCTCAGCAGCAGCTCAGCTTGGGCCTGGAATTGAACCAGCAACAAAACTTGTATTTCTTGTTCCCTTGACTTGAAGCACTATCGCTTGACTCCCCACTTGGTTAGCTGAGTATATTAGCACTCTGACTCTTTCCTTTCTCCTCCCTACCTTCTACTTCTCAGTGTCAGTCAGCTGTATCCTTAACTTTACATTGTAAATGTTGTTAATATTTAGTCTCTCTTTATTTATTTATTTATTTTTAAGATTTTGTTGGGGAATTGGGGGGAGGGGAACAGCGTTGGGGAATCGGGGAAGGGAAACCGACAGGTAGACAAATTGCTATTTTTGTTCTTCAGTCTAGTTGTGGAGGACGTTGCTTCATTGGCCCATGTTGGTATGATCATTGTGCTCTTCCCAGATAAGGCAATCGGTCATCGGTCATTGGTTGGCCGCTCACAGCGGCTCCTGGCAGCTCACGCCAGCTGCCAGCTGCTCACATAGCTCCCAGCAGCCCTCTGCAGCCCTGCTGCTGCGCAGCCTACGGCATCGCCGGTGACTCACAGCAGCCCAGCTCCAGGTTGAGCTATTGTTCATCATCTTAGCTGTAGAGGGCGAGCGTCACTGGCCCTCATATGTGGGATCCGAACTGGGGCCCTGCTGCTCAGAGCTGGCGCTCCCAAGCGAGCCACTCGGCTGGCCCTATTTAGTCTCTTTTTAAACCATAGTTAAATCTTTGTGATTTGACTCTAGGTTGGTTCTAAAAATTGAAACAAAAAATGGCATTTACATTACAATGACTCCTGTCTGTCTCTTTTCCCCCTTTGTTTTTCCTGGATTTGAATCTAAATCTGATACATCAATCTCAGTGAGGGTGAGATGAGTAAACCAACAGGGTAACTAAGGCGTAGAGCAGGAGTGGTGTCAATTAGAGGTGCCCATGCAGAGCTGGAAGTCTGCCAGGAGGTTGGTGTCATGGGAGCTGATAACACCTTGTAGGCAGGAGGTGGTATTTGAACTGTGCTATGAGGGATGAAAGAGATTTAGGTTTGTGGAAGGACCAGGATTAGCCAAAACACGTTGGTGGGAAAGTTTAGGGATTTCTGAGGGTATCATTGTGTGAAGGAGAGTAGTACGTGATGAATCCGGAAAGCTGGTTGGGCCAGAATTGTGGAGAGTGACGGGTAGGGGGCTACTTATTAATCCTTAGACTATTTTACTTTTGACTTTAATTTCCCAGAATGTTTACTGAGGTGGTCCCTCTGAGGTGGAATGGTTCAAAGGTCTCTAGAAAGTACAACTAGAACAAGGAATGAGCAATGAGAACTGCTGAAAAGAATTTAAAGATGGTGGAACCAGGACTTGACAATTAGTATAGAATAAAAACTTAGAGCTTCCAGAAATGAAGAAGGATAGGGGAAATCAAGCCTTAACTATATACTGAGTGCCTGTTAGAAGGCCCAACAGATTACTCTCAGTGTTCAAAAAAGGCCCAGTGAGGAGCGTTAACGTAGGTTTCTCCTTACTTACTGCACTGGATTGAATAGCATCCTCCTAAAGTGAGTTAACGTGCAGTCATATAGTGTGGGCTCCTAAATCCAATGACTGGTGCCCTTATAAGGAGAGGAGGATTTGGACATACGGTGACACAGATGCACACAGAGGGAAGATGGCCATGTGAAGACAGAGGTAGAAATTGGAATGTTGCAGCTGCAAACCAAAAAATGACAAGGATTGCTGGCAACCACCCGAGGCAGGGCAGGATTCTTTAGAGCCTTTACAGGGAGCCAACACCTTGATTTCAGACTTCTAGCCCCCAGTCTATGGGAGAATAAATTTCTGGATTTTTAAGTCATGTAGTTTGTGATTAATTTATTACAGCATCCCTAGGAAACCAATACAGCTACCTGATACCCTGTCAAGTAGTTATTCATTCATTTAACATCTTTTTTATTTAGCATCAATTTACAGTGCATCTAGCTATTTAGCTAAAGTGAAAAGATGGAACCAGTCCCTGGCTTCTTAGGACTCACAAACTAGTCAATGACTCTTACCTCCTCCAAGTCCGTAGAATATGAGGGTTCCAATGGACCTTAAGTGTTATTTTCCACATTTACCCCACACTTAAATGATTGAATCTCCAAAAAGTAGTTTCCAGTCTGCTTATAATCTCCAAGAATGGGGAGCTTACTTCTTCCTAAATAGTCCCCTCTACCTCTATAGAGTTTTGACTCTTAGAAAGTTCTTTCTTATAGAAATAAAATCTGGGTGCTGATAACATGTACCTATTGATCCAGTTTTTCCTCATCAAGGTAACAGAGAGCAAATTTGATCTCTCTTCCCCAAGAGGGCTGCTTATCACTTATTTCAGAACATTGGCCATATACATCTCTTGATGCACCTTCAGTTCTAGACAGTACTTCTTTCACCAGGAGGCCCTTCCCAGTGAGAAAACCCTCGTATCCTTAATAACAATAATAATAGTCATAGCTGTCATTTATAAGGACTTACTATCTATTAAGCATCGTGCTAGGTGGTTGGCATACATTATCTAATTTGGTCTTAGAATAATTCTGTGAGGGGAGAACTACTAATTTAATAGATGAGGAAACAAGGTTAGAGAGGATGAGAAATGTTCACAAACATTCGTGCAATCTGGTAAGTGTTGGAGCAAGGATTTTTATCAGAGCAGATCCTGGACCTGACCAGGTTCTGATCAGCCACATTCCCTCCATTGCCCATGAACCTGAAGGCATCTTGGAGTACCCTTACCTTGCCCTAAGCCTGTCTTTGTCTCTCTGGATGCAGGAAAGACCACCAGAGTGCTCCACCCGTGCAGTACAGGGAACTGCGGGCCTTGCTTGAAGCCATGCTGGACCGGTGTTCCGATTTTTCCCAGACCCCACTGAGCAGGAGGTCCATGGTTAGTGCACTGCAGTCTGGAGATTACGCTGTAATGGGTTTTTAGAAGATAATTGCCTTACCTTTCTATGCCGCTTCATAGCTTTTTCTCGTGCCCATCACATACCTACAAGGAGATATTATTTTTCCCCCCTAACTGCAGAGCTGTGAGGTGTAATAATTTCTGTCTTCATTTTTTACAGATTAGGAAACTGAAGCCACAAGGGTTAAATAATTTTTCTCTAAGGTCTAAAACTAGCGAGTACCTGATTTTGGATAGTAAATTCCAGGGTGTTTGTACTCAAGCCTACGACATACTTTGTTTTTTATATTATCCAAGCAGATATGGTAAATATGCTCACAAAATTACTTAAGGCTGGATTCAGTAGAATTTTAGAAAGAATATAACCAGTGTGCAATGTTGTAATTGTTGGCTTTTAATGGTCAATGGACTTAAAATATCAGAAAGGATGCTGTTAATATGAATGCTGACTATGTCTTTCGAGATTACTTTTGGAAACTAAGTTCTTCACCCATGATCGGGTGGGAATTTTTGTGTGTTTTGAAGCAACTCTTATGGGGATTACAGCCAGTTAGGCTAATGTCCACCAGCCTGTGACAGCTTTCTGCATATAATAGAATAAGAGCCAGTCCTGTGGTTCACAGGGAGACAGATGGTTAAGGTTCCCCCTTACACCCTTTTTTAAAGGAGCTAGTAGATGGCTAGATTTGTGAGGCTATAACCAAGATCCCCTGGAAAGTATTAGGTGTATGGGAATGCCAGACTCCAGTGTGAGAGGAAGAGGTCTGTGGTCATCTAAGCACAGACTGGGACACAGAGTAGGTACTTCATTAATGGTTCCCCTCTCCTTCTCACCTCAGGGCCATGCTTCCAGTAGATATGTGGAGAAGGACATTCTTCGAAGGGGAAAGTTTCTCCTGAGCACTCTGGAGGGGTTTAGAAACGCCTGCAGGTGAGGGGCCCTCTGTGGTCTGAAATAGTAGTATGGTAGTTGCAGATGGAAAGGAATCAGACAAAGGTTGAAGTTCTAGAAGCAACACTTGATTTCTGATCTTCGCTGCAGAGTAAGAGGACTTTGACTGGGGTGCGGGTTAGGGATATGTGTGGGCGTGGAGGGGGTTTGAGGATGGGTAGCTAGAGTGGGAGTTTTCTAAAGATCCTCTTCTGGTGAAGGTTGTGTCTCATTCAACTAGTTCCTCTTCCCAAATAACCTAGCCCCAGAGGGTTCACTGAATGCTTGTTGGGTTAATTCAGTTCACGTTAACAATGTTTTCTTTATCTACTGTGTGTCAGGCCGGGTGCTAGGTAGTGGAAGTAGAAAGGTGAGTCAGATTGGCTCCTGCCCACCAGAAGCTCACAGTCTCTTGGGGAAGAGAGTGTTTTGTGTATATGTGTGTGGAATTCATTAGACTGTCACAAATCCGCAGAAGGCACTCCAGGTAGAAAGAACAGCAGATGTAAAGACAAAGAGATGTGAAACAGCAAATGGAGGGGGGGGGGTATGTACTTCAGGGAAGTACCTGTAGTAGGGTGTAAGGGTCAGGTGTTATGGGAGAGGGGGTGGGGAGCACCAAGTCAGAGAGGTAGCCAAGGATCAGGCTTTCCTTCATTGAGGCCTGTTGAATTTTCTCCAGATCTGCTGAGAGGGACACTTTCTCTGGACCCTGATCCTATAGGAGGTTGCTTCTAACTTTTACATTACATAGGCAGCAGTGGATGTACTCACACCTTGATTTCTCAGGTTGGCTGTGGAATTCCAGAGCGAGCCTTCGGCCCAGGAGAACCCATTCACAGCTCCCAGTGCCGAGAAGGAAGACACCTTGGAGGCCTTCTCAGAATTTCTTCTCAGTGCCTGTGACTCCCTTTGTATCCCCATGGTGATGGTGGGTTCCCCTGAGCCATGGACAGAATGAAAGTTGGGGAGGAGAAGAATGTGACTGTGAGCCAGGTCTAGAGATACAAGGCAGTGATCCCTCAACTGGTCCTTCTGAGGGTCTCAACAAGGTTGTTCTTGCAACCACTTTTCCTTTGGTTTTAAAAACAAAGTGTAGTGTTTCATTGTAAAACTAATAGATGCCTCTTAAGAAAAAGCAGAAAGCAGTTATAATAAAGTAATAAATAGGTATATAACAAAGTATATTACCCAATTTGATCATCCCAATGACCCCATGAGATAGGTGCTATAATCTCCCCAATTTAAAGATGAGGTTGTCATGTTCCTATGGTTATAAAGCAAGTGCATGACGGGGCTAAGATTTGAACCCATTTTCCTTCTGCATAGTCAAGAGCAGTGGTGAATGTCTGTGATCCACGCTTCCCTAAGGAACACATATGTGTATTCTGTAAAATGAGAGATGGTCACTCTAAAGAGAGACCTGCCTGGAAGAGTTTCCTTTTGAGCTGACTTGAGATGGACATGGTAGGAAGATCTGGGTCCAGAGCTGTTGACTGCCCAGCTGACCTCGAGAGAGTCCTGTCGTGTTTGAGGTTTGCACATCCTGTGAGCCATGAAGAGTCCCGTTTGTTCAGGACAGGCACCTGGGAACAGTAGGTGGCAGCAGGGAGGCAGCCTCTGGTTCTGACAGAACCTCTTGAGAAAGTCTGTTAGCCAGCATGCCAGGGTCTTCAAGCGGAGGATTTGTCAGGAGCCATGGTTTGCAGCTCTGATGGGCACAGTAACACTTGGGCAATTCACGTTGGAGTCCTCATCTGCTCTGCCTTCTTTCTAGATTTATAAAGCTTTAGAGCTAGATCTAGAATTAGATAATAGAATTCTTGCTTTCTACTTTTCCGTATTCCACACATTTTCTTTAATGAGCATGTATTTTCTTTCTTTCTTTCCCTCCCTCCCCTCCCTCCCCTTCCCTCCCCTCCCCTCCCCTCCCCTTCCCTCCCCTTCTCCCCCCCCCTCTCTCTTTCTTTCTTTCAAAAAAACTTGATTTAAAAACAAAAGAAAGATACCTTTTAGAACCATGTTTCTGAGGCTCCAGCTATTTACAGACAGGAAACTGAGACACTGAGGGGGGATGGCAGGGACTGACCCAGGGGCACATTACACTTTGTGCAGTGCTTGAACGAGAGCCCATGTTTCTCTCAATTCATAGCTCTGTCTACCACATCAGGCTGCATCATGACTGTTCAAAGATCACAAGAAAAATAAATGTGAAGGCAGTATGTAAATTATATTATTACTATGGCTATAGTAATAGACACATGAGTATCACTTTGCATCATCATTTAGGAAGCACTTACACATCAGATCTCGTTTGTTTCTGGGAGCTAGGACTTGTTGTTATTCTCATTTTACTCTCTGATACAGAGGCCCAGAGAGGTAAAGTATCTTACATACTTTATTAAGTGTTGGATGTAAGCTTTGGCTGTAGGCTTGTGCCCTTCAAAGGAAAGGGTTTAGTCACTGTTCCAGATTTGAAGCCAGTTTTGCTGATGATTTTTCTTCAGAGGCTCTTGGCGGACTGTGTTCTCCCTCCTGGTTCTTTGCAGAGGCACTTGGAGCAGGCCACTCAGCCAGCCTTGATGGAAGTGTTCTTCTCAATTCTACAGAGTCTTTTTGTCATCGTTCCCCACATGAAGGAGAAGTTCTCCAAGAAGCTCGGTAGGTAGCAAGCAAGTGTGGAGGTTGGAAGAGAGGCAGGCACCTTAGGCAGCTGCTTAGGTACTCAAAGAGAGCATACCTGCGGATGGGAAGTGTACGTATTTGTTCAGAATCAATGTCCATGCTCTTCCCAGTGCTGAGTGGGAGGAAATATCATCCAAAAAGCAAAGTCCTAAGGGCAGTTCTCAGATGTATTGGTGCTTCTCTGAGTATCAAGGAGGTTCTAGTTAAGAGCCCCAATGCACACCTCTTTCCACATTACTGTCATACTCCATATTCCCTCAGACTTCACAAGATATTTAGCATCTCTGAGTCCTGAGCACTGAATGCCAGAGGTACCCCCAATCATTGTGACAACTGAAAAATATCCCCACATACTTTCGAATGCCTTCTAGGGGAGTGGGAACACTCTGTGTGAAAGCTGCTATCTAACTATACACTGAAGTACCTTCTTGAAATTGAACCCAAGTGGCTTTTGACTCCGTTAGCCTTCTCTGCACCATCTTGCATCTGTTTATTCTCTTCTCTCATTACTCATTTTTCCTCTCTAAAATGTAAGCTTTCCTTTCCCACTTCTCCAGTTTTCACCCTATAAATAGCCCAATCTGCATAATAAGCCCAGGAATCAGAGTCAGCCTCCTTTATCTTCCTTAGAAAGTGGTAGTGATGGTGAGAATGGGCAGCAGGACTAGCCAAACACAGAAAGGGGAGGAGAATGGTGGTAATCATTAATAACTAATAATAACTGACATTTATTAAGCTCTTACTGTGTGTAAGATAATGTTTTAACTGCTTTACATGCATTCATTCATCAGAAAAACCCTAGGAATTATATACTGTGATTATTCTTATTCTACCCATGAGCACACTGAAACTCAGGAGAGGTTGAATGACTTGTCCGAAGTCATACTGGAAGTGATATACCCAGGATCCAAACTCAGGGAATCTGGCTCTAGAGGTTGCTTTCTTAATCTCTGTGCTATGCTGGCATCTTATCATTATCACTTAATGTCTTTTCTTTTACTCCTGTCACTTAGCATGCAGTGAAAAATCTGCCTTGGAGAGGTAGTCAGGCCTCAGTCATGCAGGACCCTGTTGGTCATGTGAGAAATTTTGACTTTATCCTAGGAGCTCTGAGTCGTAAAAAAGGGGAGTGACATGCTCAAATTTCTGTTTTAGAAAGATCCTTCTTGGAGCAGTGTGGGCCATGGGGTAAAGGGAGGCAAGATTGCATTAATTCAGGTGGGTGGTAGGTATTAAGGTAGTATTGGGGTCATGAGGGAGAAGGAACAGTTAGGGGTAATGCTTTGGATTCTGGCTGCCATCTAGGTGGGTGGTGGTGTTTTATCAAGAGGAGGCTCATTGGAGGAAAATCAGATTTGGGAAGGCAGCAGAGGATTTGATTGGCTTGGGTCAGGGTGAGTGTGAGATGCCTATGAGATGTCCCGGTAGAGATGTTAGGCAGGTAACTGACTATGTTTCTGAAGTCAGGGGAGAAATCTGGTCTTTAGATATAAAGTCTTGAGCATCCAGCCTTTCATTCATTCAACAAATATTTGTTGGGCACCTACTACATGAAAGGCACTGTCCTAGGGCTAAGGACATAGCAGTCAACAGACAGACCCCTGTCCTTGTGGGGCCGACTCTGTAGTGGGGAGCAGGTGAGATTCCTCAAGGGTGAGTGTGTAAAATGAAGTGATCAAAGGGACCAAGGCAAAGTAAGAGCAACATTTAATGGTCAGGAGGAGGAGGACCCTCCAAAGGACACTGGTAAGGGACAGATGGAGAAGTAGGAAGGAAAACAGCAGGGAAGCCGAGTGAAGAGTTTTGTAGATTAGGGACTGGTAGGAGTGTCAGATGCATCCCAGAGGGCAAGTAGATGAGAACTGAAAAACATCCGTTTACTTGGCATCATGGAGACTGTTGGTGACCTGGGCCAGAGCAGTTTCCGTGAAGTGGTGGGGGTGGAATCCCTACTGTAGTGAGTTGAAGAGTGAGTATAAGGTGAGGCAGTAGGGACAAGACAGACAACTCTTTCAATAAGTTTGGTGTGAGGGGAGGTGAGAAATAAGGGTATAGTTGGAGGGGACATGGAGTTAGGAAGGGTTTTTCTACCTCCTAAGACTAGAAGCACTTAATGTGATTAGCAGCTGATAGGATGGAGCAGTAGAGAGACTCCTGGGTAATCAGCAGAGCAAGGTTTTTGGGAAGGAGAAGGGCCAGGATCCAGAACTGGGGAGACAAGGGCATGCTTTCTGCAGCTGTAAATTTGGGGATTTTGAGGGATTTTCTAATTGATGCTTTGGGTCATCCTGGGGAGGTCCCTTGTCACAGTTTAGAGGGATCTTTGTTCTCTCCAGGAAAAGAACAGAGCCCAGGAAACCCTTAGGAAGCTATTCCAGGTATTGAGTGAGTAGGAGCTTCTAGGAGTGGGTGGCAGGCTATGTTGAAGAAGGAAAAAAGCAGGACCTTTGTTGTTAGCACAGGTGGGTTGGGATTCTTCCTTATCCCTTACTTGTTTATTGACATTGGGCAAATTAATTTTCTTACCTTTAATGTCCTCATTAGAACATGGTGATAATAATGAGAATAACAAGGAGATAACAAGTTGATAATAAATGAGATAACAAGTAGATTCCCTGAATGATTCTACCCTTTAGTCATTGTGACAACTGACACATACTTCTTTCCTTCCTTTCATCCACTATTCCTGCCTGTCATACTAAAGAGCCAAGAGGATCTAGTCTTTGGGTGCTGGATGGGTGCAGCTTCAGAAGTGTAGATCTCTGGGGGGCGGTGGTAGAGAGCTGTGTATGGAGAGATCTATGCAGTATGAAGCCAGATAGAGCAGGGTCGGGGCCCAACCTGTAAGAGAGAAGAGGGAAGCAGGCCCTGCTAGCCAAGAGTGGGGCAGAGGCCTGGAGTAGCGGGTGGAGAAGCCCTGGGTTCCTGAGAGACTGGGCCAGGAGGAGCCCTTCCAGCAGGCGAGCTGGGCACCCCACCCCTACCCCCTGGGAGTCATGGGTTAAACTGCTGTACAAAAAAATGGCTGTGAAACTCTGAGGGATGAATTCTTTGCCATATACTTCAGACCCAGGATAGAATACAGATTCTCCCCAACACCAGAGCAGGTACAGTGCGAGCTCTTGCTGTTGTTCTTGTTTAGAATCCTGCCTGTATCTCAGGTAGCTTCACAACAACCTGTGAGGGATAGATATTGAAACTGATTCTCAGAGAAGTTAAATTAGTGTTCCAGGGTCACACTACTAGAGAGTGATGGAGCAAAATTTGAACCCAGGTCTGAGTGACTCCAAAACTAGTACTCTTTGGTACCACCCAGAATCTCTAGTACCACTTGGGAATCTCTGTAACAAGTCTGGTTTAAACTGCTCTCTGCTTTCTTTCCACTTTTCCAAGCTGCCTCATGCTTCATACGACTAACTCTGGAACTGAAGGCCAGGTTCTGCAGTGGCCTGAGGTACGTATGGCTCCCAGGCAAAATTAGTGGCCAAGGAGCCAGCATCCTTTTTGACTGGACAAGTGGAAATTCTGACTGGTGTGGTTTAGTCATAGGACCGTGGGGGATTGACACAGTATTGGAATTACTCAACAGCTGGTAGTATGAGCTAGATTTGCTTCTATAGCTTTTATTTAATCTGGTTCTGGTAAGGCTCTCATTCCATGTAATAATAGGATGGGTACCTATCACATCAAAACTGGAAGGGTTCTCAGAGGTCATTTGTCTAACCCCTCATTTTACAAATGGGGAAACTGAGGCCCTCCGATAGTAAGAAATGCAGTATTTATCAAGATAGAGTCGGGCTCTAGTTGCCAACAACCCAGAAATTTCAGAGGAGACGCCCTCTTGTTAAAAGTAGAGAGGTTGGGGGCCGGCCGAGTGGCTCAGTTGGTTAAGAGCTCGCTCAAGAGTTTGAGCTCTGAGCAACAGCGGTTCGAGTCCAGCCCGAGCTGAGCA